CCACGGGAATGCTCAAGGCCCAGTCCCGCCGCGCTGCCCACCTGACGTAGGAGACGTAGGAGCTCCACTGCAGGTACGTGGGGATGGTCTTGAAGCTGACGAAGAAGCCTGAGAAGAGCAGGACGGGGATGGCAGTGACCGGCCCCACGAATGTGGCCACCTGGGACAGAGGCAGCGGGGAGTCAGGAGCTGCGGTAGGGCAGGGAGCCCCCTCGGCGCACGTGCTGAGGCAGCTGGCTCACACCCAGTGCACACACACGTGTGCTGGATGTCATGCCTGGCTCGCTCGTGCCCTCATATGTGCCTGCGCTTGCTCAGTAACAGCACGTGCCCCCTTGCACACACGGTCACGCACCCTCACGCCCTGGCACCGCCGATGATCACATGCTGCCCCAGCCTTCCCTGGCCCACCCAGAGCCCCTCTGACCTGCAAGGAGGTGGAGGCAGCTCCGATGAGGAGCCCCAGGGACTGGGCCACCAGGGCAGTGGAGGTGGCCAGGGCAGAGAAGAGGAGGAAGCGCGTGGCCTCGGGGGGCTGGCCCGTCATCCAGTACACGATGCTGCAGTAGGCGATGGGGCAAATCACCTGCAGGGCAGGAGGTGGAGGGGCAGGGATGCTCAGATGCCTTGGGCAGCTCCCAGCACAGGGACTAGCAGCTCTGGACCCCTCCCCTGGCACAGCAGGCACCTGGCACAGCATGTCCAGGGCCCATGGGACCCCCGTTCCTGGGAAGGCTGCCCTGTATCGCCCTCCCCCCTCTCCTCACCTGGAAGGGCACATCTGCCATGGTCTTGGCCAGGTAATAGGCCTTCAGGCTATACCAGTAGTTGAGGTGCTCTCTCAGGAACACGGACATCTCCAGGGGGACTGCGGAGGCAGAGGGGCATGATCAGCAGCCTGGGGAGGGCCCCGGATCAGCCCCGAAAACCCAGCTGGGCTCTGGATTGCCTGTCCCTCCCCCCAGGCTCACGCCAAGGGCCGGAGACTGCCCACGAGTGAGCATCTCGGGGGCCTCATGGCAGGAGCTGATGGGCATTGGGATGGAGCTCGTTTGGCTGGAAAGCCGGGGTGTGGCAGGCAGCAGCTCTGTCCAGGCCAGGGGGTCTCTCAGAAAGACCCTTCCCCTGTCCCTCATCTCAGCATGCAGGGAGCCAGAGCGCAGCCCCCAGCAGTGCCCCCCCTGCCACCCCGGCTCAGACCCAGGCCGGGGCAGCAGCAGTCCCATGCACCAGCAGACATGGTAAAGCCAGGGATTTTAATGCACGATCAAACCATGCTCCCCAGCCCAGGGCCTGCCTAGGATGGGGGCACTCATGAGCTCCCATCAGGGGCCCGGGGGTGGGGCGGTCTCCTTACAGGTGAGGACGGTGGGCATCAACGCAGCAAACATGAGGAAGAGCATGGAGAAGAAGAGGAAGCCGGTGTTGTTGAAGACCTTGCTGGCATCGTTGCCGATGTGCAGGTAGAGCAGCCCGATGAGCACCCCGATGCAGACGTGCGACATGAAGCGCAGGTGCGTCAGGACCTGCCGGGCAGCACCGGACAGGCCACACTCAGGGATCGGGCCCAGCCACTCATCGCCTCCACCCCACCCGGCCCTTGCCCTGTGCCCCCTTCTGATCCCCGTTTCCCCCCGCGGGCCTGGGCTCTGGCCCCTTCACACCCGCCTTGCCCGGCAGCCCGTACCGTGTCTCTCAGGATGCACATGAAGGTTCGCTTGAAGAGGATGCAGAACTGGGTCGTGGTGCTGGTGGCGAATGTGTGGCTCTCGATGTGATCCGCGTCCTGGAGCCACGAGGAGAGGGGGAGTCAGGGACCAGCGCCCACTCCCCTGGTATCTCCCAGAGCCCAGCCAGCCCTGCCTGCTCCCTGCACCCCACCTGCCTCTCAGGCCCCCTTGAAGGGCGTTGTGCCCATCGGCTGGGCAGGGTGGCAGCATGGGGCTGCCAGGGGCATGGGAAGAAGTGCCTAGGGGCTCTGCAGGACGACCCACTTCCCCACCCGGCATGGCAGGCTGGCCCAGCCCGAGCTCACCGTCAGGCAGTGGGCCGGGCACGAGGGATCATTCTTGTCGGGGCTGCTCTTCTTCTCGACCATGGTGCACATCCCGTTCTGGACGGCGCGGAACAGGACGGGGTTGAGGTCTCCGTACTCGCCCGAGGCCACCTCAATAACTGGGGACCCACAGAGCAGGGGCTGAGCCGCGCCAGGTCCAGCCGCACTCCCGCCCAGCCCCAGCGCCGAGCTCCGGGGGGGGAAGGCGGGGGTCTGGCTTGGGGAGACCCCCATGGGGTGCGGGCCAGTGCAAGGCAAGCAAGGGCCCATTCCCCTCCAAGGCTCTCAGGGCACTTGGCGAATGTCCCTGCCCCGAGCTCCGAGGGAGGGGACCTGCCACACAGAAAATGCAGCTGGTTCTGGGGGGTGGATAGCGGTAGCTCAGCCAGCCACCATGCAAAGAGTTTAGGACAGGAAGGGAAGGATGCTCCCACACCCCAGGACAGGCTCATGTGAGCTGGAGCACGCCGGGACAGCGGCCCGAGCTTCCCAGCTCCCAGGGCAGCTGTGGGGAGCTCTGGGCGGTGGGGCCGGCCCGGTCCCCCCCAGCAGCCGCAGGGAAGGCAGGTTGGCACAGGCTGGGCACTTACTGAAGTCAGCAGGGTTGTGGTAGGTGGGACAGTACAGGCCCAGCCCCTTCAGGTATGGGATGAGGTTGGTCACCACCCCCTTGAAGATGCACTGGCCCTGGCTCAGGATGTAGAGCTGCAAGAGAGCACAGGCAGGGGTGGCAGGGCGCCGCGCGGACCCCAGGCCCCAGAACCAGCGCAGGGGGGTGGCCCGGGGGGCTGACCTTGTCGAACATCTCAAAGAGCTTGGCGCTGGGCTGGTGGATGGTGCAGATGATGGTGCGGCCGCCCTGGGCCAGGGACCGCATGAGGGAGACCACCTGGAAGCAGGAGGCGCTGTCCAGGCCGCTGCAGCGGGGCACGGGGGGCAGGAGAGAGAAGAGGGGGCAGGTGAAAACAGGCAGGGAAGAGATAACACAGCCTGTGCGCAGGGGCTTTTGGGGGGGGCTGCCCAGCTGCCCCTGGTCTGGGGACTCAGCCCCGACAACCCCCTGGCCCCGCTGGCTCTCCCCACAATGCCCCAGCTGCAAAGCCTCCCAAATTCCCACCCCGGGCTCACTGAGCCAGGCAGGCCCTAGGATGGGGTCCCTGGGGACGGGGGCACGGCGCTCACCTGGTGGGCTCGTCGAAGAACATGACCGGGGGGTTGTTGACGAGCTCGAGGGCAATGGCGAGGCGCTTGCACTGGCCCCCGGACAGCGACATGGTGCGGGTGTAGGAGCACTCCAGCAGCCCCAGCGCGGTCAGGATCTCGTTCACCTGCACCCCACGCACGTGCAGACATGCACACACACACACACACACACACACACGCGCACATAGGGTCACTTGTGGCTGGGCTCAGGGCCCCTGATGCCACCTGCCCTGCGTGGTGCAGGACAACATCTCCGAGCACCCAGCACGTCTCCCTGCCTCTGCCCGCGTCCCGGCCAGGCCCGTGGAGGGCTGGGCCATGCTGCTGTCCCACGGGTGCCTCCTCCCACCACCCCCTTGTCACCGAGTCCCCAAACTCACCAGCTCCTTCTTCACCTCTTGCTTCTCGCTCAGCTTCAGGTTAGCGGAGACCTGGGGGGACAGGAGAAGACCCCAGGGCTCAGGAAGGGGCTGGCAGGGCAGGGTAGGTGCCACTCAGCCCCCAGCTGGATGGAGCAGGGAGTGGGGGGCAAGAGGAGCCCCCCACCACCTTGCTACGAGCATCAGGCTCCCTAGTAACAGCTGGGACCACCAAGGGCACTTGCGTTGCTCCCACGGGGTGCCGGCCAGAGCCCAGTGCCCAGCTCCAAGGGCCGGACAGGTCCAACCCCCAACCCGTGGGCACTCACCATCATGGCCTCCAGCACGGTGAGGTGGGGCAGCAGCATGTCGTCCTGCATGATGTAGCAGGACATCTTGCGGAAGGTGCGCAGGTCCCGTGGTCGCCCATTCACCAGGATCTGCCCCTTCATCCCCGTCTCCCTGGAGACACGGGCGAGTGCTGGTGAGGAGCGGGCAGCCCCGTGCCCTAGGGGCCTGCTGGCGAGACCCCGGCTCCCCTTCACCGCTCCCGGGGGACCAGCCCTGCCGCACAGCCCCCGCCCTGCACCCCAGCCCGGCCTCACCTGTACCCGGCCAGGATATTCATGAGCGTGGACTTCCCGGCGCCCGAGGGGCCCATGATCCCGATGAGCTCACGCCTGCAAAACTTCCCACACAGGCATTTCAGCAGTGTCTTGTATCCTGGGGACAGGGGAGAAGCCTTGAAGCCTTGCCAAGCAGCCCAGAGCCTCTTTGGATGATGCTTTAGGCCAAGGCAAGTGCCTGGGTGCAAGGGTGGGAGCTCCCAGTGAGTGGAGTGTGGACCCAGAGACTGTCCAGCCCTCAGCTAGGCAGGATGCACAAGTCCCGTATGGCTGCAGGTGGGCTCTGAAAGGTTCAGAGAGGGGAAACTGAGGCACAGAGCAGCCTGGGCTCTGAAACTCATCCACCCGCACATCCACCCCTCAGCGGCTCTCCCGCACATTCACAGCCCCAGTCCCACCCGAGAAATTTGCAAGACCGTCCGGCGCTGCCCTGGCAATGCCTCCATGCAGACCCATCCCATCAGCCCAGGGTGGAGCACAGCTCTGTGCCCCACCTGAGCCACAGGAGATGGTACCTGCAGTGCCAGGACCCTAGGGCAGACGGCCTACAAGGCAGGTAGCCTATTGCCAGCCTTGGACCGGGACAGCGGGGTGCTGAATTTCATGAGACAAGGAGGCTGAGCTGGGGGGTGCACAGAGCAGGGGGTGAGGGGCCTGGGCAGCCCTGGCACACACTGAATGAGGCAGGGACCATGGTGCAGCTGCTCAGGCCCAAAGGAGACCACCTCCCAGCCCAGGCCTCGCCCCAAGTCTCTGAGAGCACAGCAAGGTCCTCGCGTGCCAGCGGCTGCACTGGGGTGTCCGGGATGGCACCAGGGTGCGCCGGGATGAAGAGCTTGTGGCGGCCCCGGCCCCCCGGGCCCCACAGTGGATCCAGGGCTGAGAACTGCTTTTGCATTCGGCCATGATGCAACGGCAGCCACTAATCAGACCTGGAGTTAATGCATCGCAAGCCTGATTAGCAGGTTGTGGAGCCGGGAGCTGGGTGTCTGGGGAGCGCGTGCCCCGGGAACTGGCTCTAACTGGGGGTGAAGGATCAGCATCGGGGCCAGGATGGAGGGGGCATGTCGCACAGAGCAGACAGGCTCCTGCCTCCTGCAACCCACCCAGCTGCACGCAGCCGAGGCCCACCCAACCGCAGGCTTCAGGGCTCCAGTGGCTCAGTTAAGGGTCAGGAAGGACTCGGCAGCACCCAGATCAATCCCCCCTGCGGGGCATCTGGGCAGCAGGGTGGGAGCAGCTGAGGGAGAACAGGGGGAGCAGAGATCCAAGAGGGAGCAGAGGCCCGAGAGGGATCTGAGTGGATTCCTGCCCCTCGAGTCCAGTGGCCAAGGTGGCACCGGACTGCTTGGCAGTGCAGGGGTTAATGCATGAATGCTGCAGCCCCAGGAAGCCCCTTGCCCCCAGCCTCATGGGACCTGGGACAGTCCCCAGGGCCCATCCTCCCAGGGCTGGGGAGGTCAGTCTTGGGCAGGAAGCAACGCAGCAGAAGCCGCCCGCCGGCACCAGGCGCACGGAGCACCTGCGTGCATCATAGACCCTGTACTGCAAGGGCCTAGCGGGGATTCTCCCCTGACTCGAGGGGCTCCACAGCCCAGTCCCTGCAGCTGCACCCTTCCCTCCCTCCCTTGCAAGGGAAGGCACAGATCTGGCATCAGGCCCGAGGATGCCCAACAGCTCTGCTCTCAGCGTGCCCTGTCCTGCCCCTCCGCGGCCCTCCCGGGGAGCCGGATGGCTACTGCCCAGCAGCACGCAGCGGGGTGGGGGCCCTGGGACCAGCCGAGTGACCTGGCTGGGGCCGCCGGCTCAGCCCCGCGGGAGGCAGGGAAAGGGGGGCATGCACAGCGCCTCCCTGCCAAGCCAGCCGCCGCGGCTCCCCACCCCCACTGCCACTGTCACCAGCCCCGCATGGATGCTGCTCACGTCCATCCACTGCAGCCTGCAGCGCGGTTACTTGAGTTCATTGACTGCCAGTAACCCCGCAGCCACGCAGACAGCACGCAGCAGGCTGTCCACCCCGCCCCCCACTCCCAGGCTGCTGCCGGGGGTGCCAGCCTGGGCAGGGCACAGGGGCATCAGCATCCACCTGGGCCCCAGCTCCTGCTCAAACAGCCCCGCAACAGCGGCCCCCTTTGCCTATCAGCTCCTGCCCCTTTGCAGCCCCACTCCCTGCTCACAGGCAGATCGGGGGTTGGCAGAGGCTTGGTGAGGATCTCCCCTAGAAGGCAGCATGGCCTAGTGGGGGAGCCGGGCAGCCACTGGGCTCTGCCACTGACTCGCTGGGGGACCTCTGGCATGTCCCCACTCCGTGCCCCAGTTTCCCCATCTGTATCACTGCGGCACTTCCCAAGCTCCAGGCAAGGGCCAGGAAGGTACCGGACAAAGCCGCTCCCTGCAGCAAAGCCTGGGACAGCCGGGCACCAGGTGCCACCAGCAACACACCTCTGCCAGGCAGCAGGGACCTCAGCCCCTGCAAACTTGAGCCAGCAGCGCCAGGATCCCAGCCCTCCCACAGCCATGCCAGGATCTCCTTCTCATGCGTCTCCTGGGACCCTCTGATTGGCATCCCAGTAATGAGGGGAGCTAATTAAAGGAGACTACCACCCACCAGCTGCCATCTGCCTGTTCCCCTCCCCTCTGGCTCTCTGGGGCCCAGAGCTGCACCCGGACACAGAGGTGCCAGGAAAGGCCTTGGAGACAGACAGTCCCTGGGCAATCCTGTCCTGCCTTGCTACCCAAGCCCTCTCCCACACTTCCACTGGAAACCAGTGTCCTTTGCTGCCCCGCCCCAGAGGTGGCTGCATTTCACCCCCTGCGCCCCAAGAGCAGGGAGAGGTTGGGGCTAAGGCCTCGGGAGCCATGTCCTCCGAACAGCAAGGACCCCCGCCTCCGCAAACCTCAGCACATCACACCCACCCTGCGTGCATGGGGATAGGAGCAGGAGGGACTTGCTCCAGCCCCTCATCACTGCAGGGGCCCAGGTGGGAGCAGCAGGTGATTGCTATTCACTTGGCAGTTGTGGCTGCCTGGCCCAGGTGCTCGGCGCTGTACAGACACAGCCCGAGGGCAGCTCCTGCCTGGGCTGGGAATTGCTGTGGGGCCTCTGCCCCCTCCTGTCCTGCTGGCACCAAGGAAGCACATGGAGCAAAAGTCACCTCCCGTTTGCCCTGCTCTGCCCCCAAAGCCCCCCAGCGAGATCTCCTGGGTCCCCAGCTCATGGGGGCCTCTGTTCCCAGGGCCCACGAAGCCGCCTACCTCTCTTCTTCCACCAGGAGCCCTCGCGGACGGAGTAGGACAGGTCGATGAACTCAATGTCCACGGCCGAGCGTTTGGGCAGGTGCGAGAAGCGCTGGGCCTCTGTGATGTGGTTCTCCACCTTCTTCAGGTGGGTGGTGAGGAGCGGGGCATCCTGGGCGCCGGTGTGGCACACCGCATCCTCCAGGGCGATGGAGACGCATGCGGGGTCCAGGCCCTTCTCAGCCATGGCGCCGGGCTGCGGAGGGAGCACGCATGGCCCTGAGCTCGCCCCAGCATGCTGCACCCGGGTCCCCCAGGCACCCCGGGCTGGGTGCCCATGTGCATACCCTGCACCGCGCGGTGCCGTCCTGCTGCCCCCCGGGGTGCCGTCCTGCTGCCCCCAGCCATGCTGGCTCTGGGGGTGACACACCAGCCACTTCTAGGGCATGCCCAAGCCCCCAAGGATTAACCCCACCAGGGCTGGCGGGCACAGTGCTGGCCCTGCCAGGTCCCAGGAGAGCAGCGAGGACGTTGCTGGCAGCAGCTAGGGCAGAGCAGCCGGGGGGGAGATGTGCACTCCTGGCAGCCCCCTCAGACAGCTCTGGCCCCCTCCACTCCCCTGA